GTCGCTCCTTGTGTTGAACAGTGGCGATCATGATATGGTGATACCATTCTTGGGAACTCAAGCATGGATAAGATCTTTAAACTACTCTATTGTTGATGACTGGCATCCATGGCACTTTCAAGGTCAAGTTGCAGGGTATGTTCTTCAAATGAATATTCGTTTTGATCAATTTGCTGGCATTCTGTGACTCTTCTCTAGCTCTTAATCTGCCTGTTAAAAGAGCCTATTAAATGAAGAAGATGAGTGATCTGGATGTTTGACTTGAGCATGTGCGCGCAGATACACGAGGACTTACTCTAGTCAGTTGACATTTGCGACTGTGATGGTAAGAAATTCAGAATTTCTCCATTTTTTCTTGCACAGATGATTCTAACACTCAATTTCTAGCGCATATTTTGGACTTCATTGTTTGGCTAAAATGTAGGGTGGTGGGCACACTGCTCCCGAACACAAGCCTGCAGAATGTTTTGCCATGTTTAAACGGTGGATACTTCAAGAACCGTTGTAAAACTAGGCTGCTACTGGAAGCGCAGTCATGGGAAAAGGTCACTGGCCACTGCGTCGGGGAATAAAAAAAACCTGTTTATATACTACGACAGGTATTCTATCCGAATGCTAAAACTCCTAAGTCCAAATAAAGAAATTAAGCACAGTGCATCATTTTAGTTCTGCTACCATCAATGGAAATTAGCCACAATTAATTATTGTCAAGTTTATTGCTAATGAGCTGTATAATACTTGTCAAATCTACCCTTCGTAAAAGGAGAGAAGTGTTTTTTGTTACTGTTCAAACACATTAGATTTTTTTTTTAACAAAAGATTTATAAACAAGTTTTTTTCAATATATTTTCATAGTTAAAATAAATTGTAAGTAAAAATAAAAAAAATTATGCATGCATTTAGTTTTGTTAATAAATAAAAAATATTAAAAAACATATATAAATTAAAATATTTAATTTTATAAGATGAGATATTGACTGGATTCTGCTTATTGAATTTATTTATTAAAATAATTTTATTATTTAATTAAATAATAATAAAATATTAAATTAATTAAATTAAAAAAAATAATATAAGAGTGTTTATATTAAAATATTATATCAAAGTAAAAAATTAAAACAAATGATATGTTATTTTCTATTTTTCTTGATTAAATTTCTATCATTCGGGGACTAAAGTTTTTGGATTCAAATACTATTGTTGTAGATACATTTTAAAATCTCATGATTCCTTTTTAATTCAAAAACACAAATATGTTGTGGGTGAATTTTAAGTTAATATCTAATATGAAAAATTAATTATGTTATGAATATGTTTCATGTATTATAATTTTTTTAATTAAAAAATGAGAAGGTATTATTTATATTTTATGAAATAAACTAAAAACATACATAAACTGAAAAAGAAAAATGAAATGTTAACGCCCCAATATTATTGTTCGCATTATTAGCTGTCTAAGATAATAATTTGAAAAACAGTTTTTAAAAAGCCTCTCGGAAACAGAAATGCAATTTGTAAAAATTAATGATGTAAAAATTTTAAATTTTTAGATGAAATTTTAAAATATGATTTATATAATTTTTTAAATAAAAAGTTTTCAAGTTTAAAATTTATATAGATTTATATCATATTATATTTAATTTTTATTAAATAAATAAAAGTATTAAGATTCAAACATGTAATTATTTATTTATTAAAATTATAATATTATATTAAATAATTAATTTAATTTTAAATTTTAAATTATTAAATAAGATTCAAACTAATAACTTCATCATGAATTATTTTATGGTTTCCTCTCGAGCAAACAATCCGACGGTAGCAATTGATATGCAGGTGCGCCGCAAGGGCATAACCAAAACCGTTAATTGATTTCTTTATCAAAGTACTTGATATGGTTGTCTGATATCCATTTTAGAAGCTGTATTACTGTATTGACAGTAATTTTTCCTTGAGGTGTATGTCTCACCTGCAAGTTCTAAAATACTCAATGATCTTGACAGTATTTGATCTTCTTAATGATTTCAAACCTCTGCTATGGAGAAACAGAGGAAGCTTGGCGAATCACCTCTAACTCTAAGCTTTGTTTATTTCTCTTCTGGGCTTAAACTGGTTTGCTTAGTCCAATGCATTGTGGACTCATTAAAATGATCTTCTGGATGACTTCTTAAGAGAATATATAGTGGAAGAAGAAGTGAACATCCTTCCTGAAGAAAGCACACAATACGAAGATGATGAAGTCAGTGGAATAGTAATTATGATGCTATAAATGCATGACCAAAATGCAAGGAAGGAAGCGACAAGGTAGGAATCCCTTTTTAGGGCAGAAACGAGTTACCTTGATGATACTACATCAACAACCATGGTTTTCAGCTCTCCCATATTCTTTTGATAAACCTAGCCAATTTCCCTGCCTAATTAATGGCTGGGAAGATTAAACAGACAAGAAAATAGAAATTAACCAGTTAGAATATGTGATCAATTAGGGATTATGTTCGACATTCTCTAATTTAACTGTCTATGATCATGCATGCATGTCAAATCTTTGTAAATAATAACCAGTTTTAAAATTGGGGATGCCCTGTAACGCGTTTGTTTGCGTTAAATATTTTACAAATATAAAATATTTTATAAATAAAATATTTATTTTACATGAAGCTTTTTTATGATATTAGATAAATAATAATATAAAAAAATATAATAATGATAATGTATTGTAGTAATAAAATAGCTCCGATGGTAGTGATTATAAGATAATAGTTATTATAATGATAAAGATAATGATAATAAAATAATAGTAAAAAAAAATAACAATAGTATGATGACAGTGGTGAAATTAAATTAATAATTAAATATTAAAATGACATTATAAATAAATATATTTTTTGTAGAATATTTTATAGAATTTTGTTAATAAAAAATAATTTTAATAAATAAATCAAAAGTAGCGAGAGCCACTAGCTTGTCAAGGCAAAATAGGTCCTTTTTCGAATTCTTCTAAGATCTAAAGAAGGTTGTGTTTATTTTTTTAAAAATAATTTTTAAAATTTTTTTGTGTTTGTTTGTCATGGTCAACAAAAAATACTTTTTAGTAAAAAAATATTTGGCTTGATTTTTAGAAAAATATTTTCCTGAAACATTTAGGTGGAAAATACTTTTTGGAAGTTGTGAAATTTTTTGAAAAGTCATATTATTTGTTAATTATATCAAATTTGATCCTGAAACTTTTGATTGCTATATATATATATATATTGAATATTTATTTTTTAATTTCATCTCTTAAAATTTAATTTTTATATTAACTTTTGTTCTTATTTTTATAATTGGTATTTGCTTCCTTTATTATTTTTTATTAAAATTTTTTATCTATTAAATTTGATCATCGTTCTTTTGATTGTTACTTATTTTATTTAAAATAATTTATGATATGTTAATTATTATTATTTTAATTTCTTCATCTTTCATTTTTTTTATTTTTTTATTTGATTTCTATTATTTTGATTATTATTTATTTTATTTGAGATAATTTATGAAATTATATATTTTTTTCAATTTCATTCTCATTTAACTTTTTAATTTGTTCCTCATTATTTTAATAAACTTGAGAAAAAATAAAATATTAATAAGTTATTTTTCAGTTTATTTTACATAACATAATTAAACACTAGAAAACGTTTCCCAACTTATTTTTCATTATATTATCAAATATCAAAAAATAATTCACTTAATTAAAATTCACTTAAAACAAAAACTTTTTAATAAACAAACATAGAAGATATCAGATGACTCTACAAACCTACCATTGCATTATTGTAATTTTGATCAAATTCATTTTAAGTATGTGTGTATAGTAGTAAAATTTGTAAACTACTAAAATTGAAGGTAAATTACAAAAAAAAAAATTAATTCAACTTTTAAAATTTAAGTTGTTAATAAATAAATAAAAATAATAATATTTAAACTTGTAATTCTTTTATTATTAAGATTTTAATACTATATCAAAAAATTAATTTAACTAAAAAAACTTAATTTATAAAATAAAATTTTAAAATATAATGTTTTTACGAAAATCTCACTCTGTTTAAGGTGCAGAAGAAGGGCCTTGAACTTGACGTAACTTATCAAATATGAGTCTATTGGGTCCATAAAATAACAAGTCGTCAACTGCTAAATAGAATCAATTTTGGTTAAAGTAATTGCAAACCCGTAAAGGATTCGTTGCTTCTTCTGCATAGACTTGCAACAGACAATGACGAATCCAAAGTTTAATGAAAGGGGCCAATTGACTGTTCATGAAAGGTCTAAAATAAAATAAAAATTTCAAAAACTTCAGAAGATTTATTGGTGGCCTCCGGACGTTTATCAGGCTTTTTTTTTTGTCCTTTAGTGGAAGTTTCCCATGAAGGCATTCAAGGTTTTCTTAAAGGAGTCATTTAAGATATTGATCGAAGCCACATGATACAGCATAATAATTGTTGACCTCGTTATTTATTATACTATCACAAATTTTATATTTATTAATATTTATTTTTGTTATTTAAACTATCATTGTATTAATAATTAATTTATTAATAAAATCACCAATAAAAATACTTTATTGGTAACTCTTTTATCGATATTTTTTTTTATTATTGATATGTTTATTGGTAATAAAAAAATATTATTACTAATGAGTTTACCAATAGAATAAGCACGCAAAATAAAAATTATCCATTTTATTCTGTTGATATTTTCTTTTGTAAAATACTGTATGTAATTTTATTGGTAATTATTTAAAAATATTTTTAAAAAATATATTTTACATAAATATAAAATAATTAAATTAATATAATTCAACACTCTATAATACTCAAAATGCTTGGAAAAAAAGGTAGAAAATCAACTCAAAAAAATTTGCAACAAATAAATAACATGAAAAAATAAATTCAACTATAAAAATTCATATGAAAAAAATTTAAAAATCATATAAATAAATCAACTAAAAATTGATTTCATATGAAAAAAAATCTTACAACAACATTCACATAATTATTAGGAACAAAAAATTAAAAAAATATAATGAAAAAAACATAAAATTTTTTTTTATCTTAATATAGTTGCAAGTGAAGTTAAGAATAGAAATTTTTTTTTCGTAAAGTATACTAATTTAAAAAAAAAAACTAAGAAGAAAAAAGAAGAAGAAGAAAACATACCTGAGCATGGAGGAGAAGAAAATTAGTTAAGAAGAAAAGAGAAAAAAAATGGATATTAATGTTTTTTACATACGAGGAAAAAGAAGAAAAAGAAGAAGAAAAAATGAGACGAGTTTGTTATGAAATTAGGGTTTCTAGGCTTTTTTTGGATGTTTTATCAACGGTTTTATCGACAAGTAATTAAATATTAATATTTTTAATCATTTCATTAGTGATTCTATCTATACTATTTAATTTAAAATTTTAATTTAATTAAAACTTTTCAAAAACCGCCAAATATTACTGACGATGTTTCAATCTGTCGGTGATTTCATTTGTAATATTTAATTTAATCTAAATTTTTTAAAAAACCACCAAATAACGTTGACAACTTTTCAACATATCGGTGATTTTGTCTATAAAGAATAATAATTAATAATACAATTAAAACGTAAATAGTTCCAAAGCTCTTTGTAAAATACCGACAAAATTTTCTATCGATGATTCCTTTTGTAATTGACAAGATGAACAATGTTCACAGTTTATCAATGATTTTCTCGACAGATTTTACTGACATAATAAATTTTGTTGGTAAAACATGACACTTCATTGTTTCTTTTTATTTTTTTAATTACTTTTTTCCTATTATAATTCCTTTGATATATACC